CTGGTGACCTGCAGAAGGCATTCATTTCGTTTTGGTAAGAATTAGGAAAAAAAACAATTTCTAGAGTTTTTAAATCTGAAAAAGGCATTTCCTGTTTAACTTGCTTGTGGAGCTACAAAATGTTGCAGAAATAATGTTCCCAAAGCCCTTCCAGCTGCTCCCTTTGCTGTTGGAGCATAATGATAAACTTGTTTACAGGCTATTAGTAAAGACAGTATTAATGTAATGTAGAAATACCCTCATCTCCTGTAGGAAAGTCTCTTTTTTCCTCCAGTAGCACTTGAAGTCTGGAAATTGCTTAAGTGAGAAGAGAAACTTGGTTCAAGTCATATACAAGAATAATGTGTAAAAGTTGCTCCTGGGTGCTGTGTGGGACTGGCGGCAGAGCAGCTGTGAGAGGTAATCCATCAGCCCTGAGTGTCTGCAAACTGCAACTCTCCAGATAACAGGTTTAAAGTAAAGATTTAATACAGGCTCTATCTGCTGTGATGTTGCAGTGACAGTTTAAAACTCATTCTCTAAATCTCAGCAGACTTTATAGCCAGCAGTGGGCCCATATAAAGCTTAATGGCATTACAACACATAAATCATCTTTTAAAGACGCTACCAGTAGCGCCAATATTAAATGCAGCCAATTGTCTGTGTTATAAATAATTTATCAAACACCGTTTCAGATTAGCCTTCCATGCTGAGTTATTTATTTTAGCCTTTACTGCCCTATTCCTCAGGCACCCTTTGGAAGCTCCGTTCGTGGTCAGTGTAATGAACTGGGGTCTGTTCCCCAGCACAGCTGTGGTGACCATTACCATGGAGCTGGACCTCGCTGCCTTTCCCAAGCGCTGCCCATTTGTCAGGCGAGGTAAATGGAGCTGCACATTGGAGTCCAGGGACACATTGTGGGGTGTGATGGGGACAGACAGATCGCTCCATAAAGTGCTGCTTGTCACTGCTCGCTGCCCCTACAGTTCATCACTCGCTGTAATCTCATTTAAGGAGCACTCTGGGCCCCACAGGAGGATATTCCCAGTTAGCTTGGTCTTTGCAACCATAAAGCAGGAAGTGCTCCTTTTATATACTCTGAACTTTTAGGGTTTTTTAAGATTAATTATTACAGTGGCTCATTGAGGCCCCTGTACTTCAGGCTGTGTCAGCAGTTTCCTGCTGGCCCCCTATTTTGTGACTGGAAACAGCAGCCCTTGCTGAACTCCGTGCAGGATTTTTCTTGTGGCTGTCCTGGCCAGCTTTCTAAATTGTAAAAAGAAGAGCAGGAAACAGCACCGAGGCAGAGTTTTCTAAAATGACAATTCCTGCAGGTTCACAGACTGGGCTGCACTGTGGCAGTGAAGGAGGTGAGGTTCCAGCCTGGGCTCTCTGTGCAGTGGCTGCCTCAGTGCACTTACAGCTCTGCTCTGCTGATTGAACTTTAATGAGTATTTTTAGAATTATTTTTATAACAGTAGGTTGATAGAGTACATTTTTAAAAGCAAATACATTTTAAATTAGAAGAGCCTGTGAGATTTAAAGTGTTGTCTTAAAAAGATGAAATTAAAAGGAAGAATGGAACAGACCTCCCCCAATTTGCTGTAGTATTCCTAAACTGCTTTTCTTACACTAATACTCATGTAGCTTAAAATTATTCTGATTTTGCTACCACTTTATTTTTAAAGCAGATCTATGCACACTTCTTTGGTTCATTTTATTTACTTGCACTATAGTACTGAAATACCCTTGGTCTGCAACAAATCAGTCTTTTATCAGTTGAGTGAGGAATTACTTGCTTATCATGGTTTTATTGCCAAAAACACTGAAGAAAATGTTCAGGAATTATTTTTGCAGCATGGCTGTATTGTTCTAGTCAGCTTAGTAGGAAGCATAATTTATTTTTTTTTTTTATTTTATAAAGAGTAATAGTGGTGGAACTGGCAGTGAAGTAGGAATTGCAGCTGTTTCTGTTGTTCACTGCAGGCCATGTCCTGCTCCTGTCCCGTGTCTGCTGCACAACCTGGGACAGAACAGGCCCAAACCTCCGGGTGCAGGGATGTGCTCCCTGTTTATTATTGCTGTACTGGAGCAGGCAGTGTTTGCAGTCAGTTCCTTACACACCCTTGAGAGAAGGAAGGGTCTCACGGGCACTGCTTTGGGCTGGAGAGGCTGCTGGAAGCCCGGTGTGTGTGTGCACGTGTCTGTGTCTCCATGGGCACAGCCTGCTGTCCTGGCACGGTGACACTGCCAGCTCACCGGCACAGGGACAGGCTCAGTGCAGCTGAGGGGCAGGACGTGCCCTCGCTGGGGGCTGCAGAGGGAGCCAGTGCCACTGCAATGACTCGGGAAGGCTGTCAGTGCCACCAACACTCTATTCCTGATGCCTCACAGCAATACCAGTCGTGGTTTTGTGGTGGTGGTGAGAATGTGATGATCAGAGATCTGGTGTGATATTCTGAGGGGTAGTTAGATGAACCTGAAATGTTTCCATGTAAAAAACACTTCTGTGAATGTCCTTTGTGTAGTGTGGGCTCTGTTGCACTCTGGTTCAGGCTGTTTCAGGTCTAAATAGTAACTGTTTCAGTCACATCCATTACTGTAGCAAAGCTTCACTTTTTCACTTAAATAGTAGAAACTAATTGCAGTATTTTGACAGCAGTACCTCGTTTGACCAGTGTTTTCAGCAGGTTTCTGTAAATTCTCTGCATTTGTGCTCAGGACTGGAATTACAGCTGGTCTCCAGCTCAGCTCCATGCAGAGCAGAGCTGCTCCATCCCAAAGCTCCTGTTAGGATGAGCAGATGAATTTTGCAAACCAAGCCATGCTGCAAAATGGTGCTATATTTTGGTGCTATAAAGGCTGATGAAATAGCCCTGACCCGGGGAAGCCTTGTACCTGAACTCCAGTGACTCTAATGTGTGTGCAGCTGTCACACAAGACAGGCAGCTGGAACGTACACGTGCACAAAAGCCTGGAAGTTAAAAATGGTAAAATTTATTTTCTCCATTCATTAAGATTAAAAAAAAAAAAAAAAAAAATCTGAGTTTTGCTTCCTAGACTGTCTTTAGCAAGTCTGATCCATTGGGGGGGGGTGGAGCATGGGCAGGGTAAAGGGTTGTCCCTGGATAGTCCCCCTGTTCACGCCCTGTGGCACTTTGGTGATGGTCCTGGGAGCTGCCAGCCCTGGGCAGTGACAGCCTCTGCACTGTTGCAGGAGGAGGAGGCCAAGCAGCTGGTGAGAGACGCCATCGCAGCCGGGATCTACAACGACCTGGGCTCCGGCAGCAACGTCGACATCTGTGTCATCAGCAAGAACAAGCTGGACTTCATCCGGCCCTACGACGTGGCCAACAAGAAGGGGGACAGGTGAGTGACCCTGAGGCTGTGTGTGATCCCTGCTCTGCACGGCGAGTCCTACTTTTGCCAGAGAGATCTCTGCCCTGTGGGTGGATTGCAGCTGAACAGAACCAAGGAGTGGCTGCTCCTGCAGCTGAACACAGGCTGGCAGAGGCACGTGCAGAGAACAGGGCAAGTTCTTCCCTGCCACAGTTTTACCAGGCTCTTGAGTTTTGGGCAGTTTGAGGAAGTAATGGAGTTTTGTCTTTGCTGCCCAGACCACTGATTTCTGTAAAGACCTTTACGGTTATGTGGCAATTTTATTTTTTTTTTTTGTAATCACAGTTTTCTAAAATTGCTGGTTTGTCTGAAACTTTGTCAGTTAGTGCAGTCAGCTTAGACTTTGCAGTAGGCACAGTTCCTTTACTTATTTTGGACTTTTATAGGAAACTTATAAAGGTTATCAGTTCTAAAACTCTCAGGCACATGGTGTGACTCTTGGGGATGGTTCTGTGCAGGGCTAAGGGTTGGACCTTGTGGGTCCCTTCCAACTCAGCATATTCTGTGTGATTCTGTGAGTCTGTAAAATTTAAATGCAAGTTTTCCCATGTATCATCTTCCAGACTAATTTTCCCCCATTTCTTTCCCAGGTTTGGCAGGTACAAGTGTGCAAAAGGAACGACTGCTGTTCTCACAGAGAACGTGGCTCACCTGGAGCTCGAGGTGCTGGACGAGACCGTGCAGACCATGGACACGTCCTGAGCTCCGACTGTGGCTCTGTCCGGCCCAATAAAGAGGCTCTGCCCCCTCCCTGTCTGTGCCTGGTGCTCCTTCCTGCTCTGTCCAAGGTGAGGCTCGAGCAGCAGAGCTGCAGCAGCTCCGTCCTGCAGGGCTGGGGCTCTGAGAGCTCTGTGGGTGAGGGCAGGGCAGAAAACCAGCTGCCTTGTTACCTCACTCCAGGAGCAGAACAGCAGGAGTAAAGCTGCTCTGTGTAAGCCCCATTGGACAAGTTTTAATTTAATAGAATGTTCTTTTCCTGATGGAAACAGGAAAAGGTATGAAAACAATGAGCAGTGGTAGTTCTGAACTGCTGCCCTTGACCTCCAACAGGCACTGCTCTCCTGCCACCCCACTGCAGGGAAGGAACTCTGGGGATCAGGGGATGTTTGTGTTATTTTTGCCCCATTTTCTGTAGGTAGAGACAGGATACAGGGCAGAGCCAGCATCATTCAGTTTGACTGTCTTGTCACTTACCTCCATTTACACCTGTTTTGTCCTAAAATGCTGGGCTTGTACCACTTGAGTTAATGAGATTTCAGGCTGTTTCATACAGCACTACATAATCCTGAAAAAAACAGCCAGAAGAACCCCCTACAGAATTATTTTTCAAGTGAAAAGGGGAGGTGTAGCATTGACAGGCAGCTTCAAAAGGTGAGCTGGTGCCAGTCCCCAGCCTTGGCATCCTGCAGCAAAGATCCTGGAAAACCAGCTCTGATATGCCACAGTTCAGAGGGTAAAGACTCTCGTGGTTTTCCCTTGGGACAAGTGACAGTCTCTCTCTCCATCCGTCCATTTGCTGGAAAAGCAGCTACACACACACACACCACAGCTGGTAAGAGCAGTTTCACACATATTTAGGCCTGTTTTTTGGGGGAGGGGTTGTATTTCCTATAATACTGCACTTTTTAGTTTTTTAAACAAAGATGTTTATTTTGGAAATAATTTTTTTTATTTATCTAAAAATGCACAATTGCAAAAAATTACCTTTTGAAATACATTTCCTTATAAGCACTAAGAAATTTTATGTAGCAAGAAAGTGACCAGACTTCTCCAGATCCTCATCTGTGAGCTGAGCTTCCCTGGAAGCCGCTGATCCTTTTCCAGCCCGACCCTCCCTCTGGCCATGGAGCTGCAGCCCCGGCTCAAGGAAAGCTGCAGTGCAAGGGGACAGGTTCAGGTCACACCTGACAAGTGCTCGAGAGGTTGGGTATAAATTATAACCAAGCTGGTTGACACGGGAATGGTGGGAGCAATTTGGTGCCTCCACGATGATTTAAATTTCCTGACTCTCTCCTGAGAGCAGTACCCTCAGCTTTCTGCTGAGAAGCCCCAGTAAAATGGCACCTTGCATTAATGATGCCAACCTTATTCACAGCAATTAACGGCTTTTCTTGGTACCCTATAAAAACATTCCCAAATTGCTACGAAGTAGCTGAAGACGGCACTGCGGTTTTCCTTTAAGTAGAGCAAATTAGGTTAAAAAAATCCACTAAAAGCATATATATGTATGTAACCCTCTAACCCTAATCTTAGTTCAAAAACAATTAAGGATTGTAAGCTTTCCTTAAAAAAAAAAAACCCCAAAAGGCGGCACAGGCTGCATTTGAAGTGTCACACACAAAGGTACAGTCGGCACGAGCCCCCGGCACACGCGGAGCCGGCGCTGGAGCAGCACAGGCTGAGGGGTTTCCTCAGGAACACCGAGCACAGCCCCGCTCCTCCGACAGGCACATGGAATGGAAACACTGGAACGTGAATCCACGGCTGTTCCTGAAGCAGTGAATATTTCCATCGGCAGTAATGACACAAATCATTGATTCAATGAATGAATTTAGCTGTTGACAATTTTCATGCAGTTAGAGACGATGACTCCTTCAGATCAGGTTGAGATTTATAGACATTCACATTCTGTAATGAGCTTTCACAGTTTGAGGGACGGGGCTGATCCTATGCAGAATTCCATACACAAAGCATTTCATTTATTTTAAAAAAATTTTCCAAGTGTTTAAAACACTGCTGAAGTTCCACTGATAGTACCCGATGTACTACTGAATGTGTAAAAGTCTCTGCACCAAAATCGAACTGGCTTCGATCAACACTGGTTTTAAACAAGAACCTGGAGGCTGAGAAGAGCCATTCCAAAAGGGAAAATGAGGGTAAGGAGCAATTCTCTGCAGGAGCAAGGCTGGCTTGGGCTTGCTTGGCATGTTTGGCTTCTTTTCCCCAGGTTCATGTTTAACTCATCTCTGACAGAAAGGCATCAGCAAAATACACAAAGTTTACAATTAAAAAAAAAAAAAGAAACCCCACCCCCCAACCCTTCCCAGTTTCTAAGTCTGAAGAGGAGGGAATTAATAAAAACACATAAATGGCTGCTTTAAAATACACCAAGTAAAAACTGAATTTGCTATTAACCATTTGCAGAAGAGGCAAAGTAGCAGTTATACAAATTACACAAAATCTATGGTAATTCTTACATTAGTATAAAGTGATTTCACTGAAGGAATTATTTCAATATTTCACATTACAGTTAAGATAGAAGGTCTGGCAAAGGCCGAGCCCTCGGTAATATCGGCTATCCTAGATTACACACGACAGTTTGAAGAAAGGACCCTTAAATGATCTACATCCGTAACGTTATTGGCCTTAAAAATAAAAAATAAAAGAATCACTTGCAATACCTCACAGAATCTTCACGTTAAAGCAACGACCACCTGTAAGAGTCCTTGTCAAATAACCTGCAAATGATGGAGCCTCTGCTGTGAGTGCTCACCCTCCCACCTGTGTGAGCTGCACCAGGCGCCGGCAGCGGAGAAAAGGATTCAAGTAAGACTGAGCTGTGCTGGCGCCGCGGCCGCTCATGTGCTCGAGGTCCACACGTGCATCTGTTTGGCTATTTGGTGCACGTAACCGATGTCGGGCCGCTGGTCTGGGTCGGGGTATATGCACATGCTGACCAGTTCCCGCAGCTGAAAGACAGGACAAGAGGCAAAGGGGAATGAATCCACTGCTCTCGGACTGGAAGAGGCTGCAGATCGTCTGTCCGGGCTCTGCTGGCCAGGCCAGAGCTGGGAACCTCTTCATGCACATGCTGAGCAGGGTGCAGCCACCTGTCTGTCTGTCTCATGTGTGTGTCCCACCTCCAGATGGGCCAGGAAGAACCTTTCCCACCAAATCTTCACTGAAGATTTAAATCCTCCCACAGCCCAGCACATCTTACATCCCAGAGGAGGGGGGGGCCCGGCCCGGGAGGACCCAGCGTGTGCACCCAGGGCTGGGGGAGCAGCGCGGGGCAGAGGGAGGGAGGGAGGCACCAGTAGCATGGGCAGGGTGTGGATGAAGGAGGGAAAACAAGATCACTACCACAGTGTGCCTGAGGCAGCAGGCAGGGAGGGGCCGTCCAGTGGAAGGGGGCTCTGAGGGAAGGGGGAGCCTGAGCTGAGCTCCCCGTACAACAACTGCTCTGCTCTTCCCACACCAACCCTGGCACCAAACCCTCCAAGCCTTCGAGTGTAACCAGTCTGACCAGCACTTGAGCATCTTAAGCTGTTGGACCTGGCTGTGAGACCCTGGTGTTTCCTAAAACCTTCGTGAAGAAGAGAGAATGGTCACTGATTATGTTTAATAAATAAAATGCAGAAGGCTGGAGTCTCCCCACCTCCCAACCCTCTTTATTGTGCACATGAAAGATTGTAACTTTTAATTATACAGACACTGAAAGCTGCTCGTACCCCCGAGGCACCAGGAGAAACAGCCTTGAGCCTCTGATCTTCTCACATCCTCCCAGTAGCCACAGTGCCAATTATTTTAGCAGTAATTAAAAGCATGACCATACAGCTATCAAGCACACAGCTTCAGCTGCATTAACTGAATGTGCTTGAGGTTTTCAGCTCTGGATGGAGCAAGGTCCCATCCTTGCTCCCACCCCAAACCCGCTGCCTGGCCTTGCCTCATTCCCTGGTGACTTTCTTTGACCTGAGGGCAGGGATGCTGCTGCCTTTGTAACCCTGAGACCCTGAAGATTTAACACAGCCCTCATCAGCCAAGATCACCACAAAACTCCCACCAACAAATTAAAATGCTCAGAGCTCAGCCCAAGGCTGTGCCATGAGGACCATTGGCCCAGCCAGGAGCTGTGCAGCACTGGAGCAGTTCTGTCCTCACAGGCATCTCAGCAGCACCCACAGCACCGGCGGCTGAGCCTGATGGCACTGCCAACCCTCATCTCCAGTTACAGCAGAGCTGCTCCCAATATAGAAAACCAGTCCTGGCCACAGTCCCAGCTCCTCCTCCTGCTACCAGCAGCACATAGTTGCTCACAGGAGGATCTGGACTGTGAGCCACAAAAGGCCACAGAGAAGAGGAATCACCACGAGAGCCGGGGTTCTGCCCCAAATGCTCTGCCTCGTTCCTCTGAACCAATCTACAAATCTCTACCACACTGCTGCTGATGGTGCAGCCCCGTTCTAACCCTCACAGGACTGGAGCTGTTTGCTGTTTCCCTGAGCAGGGCAGAGGAGCTGCAGCCACAGGCACGGCCTCTCCAGCATCCCGTGGATAGTGCAGGAACCATCTGGAGCCGAGTTCTCTGGGACCCGGCGCTTGGAGCTGCAAACCAACCTCACCCCGCACCAGCACTGCACTACACACACTCTTTAGCACTGCCAGAGGGAAGCAAACAGACAGTAATTGTACAGACAGGAAACACATCTGTCAGCTTACACTAATTCCTGCTGCCAGCAGGCATATCCTGAGTGCAAGAGCTGCAGCAGCTCGGCAGAGGGACCGCGCGGGGCCGGGGCTGCCCCGGCAGCTCGGGGGGAAAGGCAGAAATGCACTTTTACAGACTAGTTCTCAAAGCATCGTTTTGCATGAGGTCCTTGGCAAGTCAAAACGAAGCAAAACACAACGTGTAGCGTGGGGCCCCTCCCAGGGTGGAGACCAGACCGGCTGCTCCCGGCTGCACACGGTATTTCCCAGGCATCCTGCCTCGCTCCTCGGGACTCGGAGGGGGAGTAAAACAAAAGCCCCACAGGATACAGTGAACATTTAAAATTCCATTACCCATTTCCTTCCAAATAGGAGGCAACTGTAAGGAAGGAGGAGGTAAGGAAAACCAGCTGCTTTGTCGAGGTAAGGGAGAAAAAAAGCAAAGCCCTTCTCAAAAGGCCCTGAGGAAAGCCAAGGCGTGTCTGCAGCTGCAGGGAAGTGTCACCAGGCACAGGGACATGGGTTTGTGCTTCAGTGGCTGCTCCCATCCCTCTCGTTCAGATGCACAACCTTAAAAAGCCCCAGTGCAGCTGCTGTAGAGATGCTTATTACATTAAACTAAATGGCTTCTCTTCTCTTTTTCTTAAAAAGAATCCTTCCCCCCTTCATTACACACTGAAGACTTCATGAACAAACATTTCAGTGCTGTTTTATGGAATGTTGTTTTAAGGAGAGGGCTTTCCCACGGCACACTGCTGGCTTCTGCCAGCACCCCAGACTTTCAGTTCCAAAATATCCTCCATTAAGAAACCTTTTTTTATCTCGATTTAGCTTGCCAATATTCAGACATCACAACAGCTGTTTCCTCAGCCAGGTACCCAGGACGCCCAGGCCATCCCCCATTCTGCCCTGGATGTGGGGGGTTCTCCTCCCAGGTTCCCTTTCCCCGTGCCAGGAGGAACTTCCCTGCACCCCCATCCCACTCCCCTGCAAACACACTCCCAATTTACCTTTTCAGAATAATGTTCAGCTGGAAGAGGTGGGTAGTCACATTGCTCTATCTTTTGGCAAAGAGAAAACAGGTTCATTTTATCTCCATAGAAGGGACTCTGCAGAGCTGCCATCTGGAGAGGAAAAACCAGAAGACGTTTCAGAAACACAAAGTATTTGAGAGCCCTCAGTGCTGCCGGTTTGCAAGAGCCAGTTCTGTTCTCTGCCAGTGAGGGGAGGCTGCTGCTCCCAGCCTGCCCCCACCCACACTGCTCTGGGATCCCACAGCTCTGCAGCCCTGGCAGGGCTGGTGCCAGGCACTGCTTCGCTTCCCAAGGGGAAAAAACCAAGAAATAGGATGCTTGGACCACTGAGAGCATCAGTAAGAACCCAACTAGCTCTAAGACAACTATGAAACCCTCTCAAACAATCATCTCTCTAAATCTGTGGCCATTTAGCTACTTAGAAAGCAAAGATTCTTAAAGGGAAGAGCAATGTACTTCAGCCTTTAAAAAAAAAAAACAAAACAACCTCAGAACACACATATCTCCTGGCAGAAATCTGCTATTTAGAAAAGAGTATCCCAGGCAGACTTGGGAACCAAACTACTGAAAACGTTCCTGATCAATCTGGTCTTTTTCCTCTTTCAGTCCTGTTTTATGGCTCCAGTATTGGCACCTCCAGAAGTGCCAGAGCTGCCTGAGGTCACCAGGCTGCTCCCACAGGAGAGCACCACGGAAGGCTCTGGGGGGAGAATTCCTTCCAGAGCACAGAGACTCCTCACAAAGATGTGTTTGTGTTACACTTGAGTCTCAGGAAGGGAACTCCATCTCTGAGTGTGCAAAACCATTTGGGCTCTGAGCTCCCAACCACGGGGTCTAACCAGGGTGACCCATGAGGCTCAAACAGCACCACGGGCACCTCTGGCCCTGCAAACGTGGCTCAGGTTGTGTCTGTCCCTGGGAGTGGAGCACCTTCCTGCTCGTGTTCCCACACAGGACCTGAGCCAGCAGAGCCACCTCAGCCCTGCAGAACTCGGGGGGGTCAGAGCAGCCCCACCCAGCACAGCAACACCTCCTCCTGTGGAAGCCCCAATGGATAACTGGGGGTATTACCCCTCTGCTTAGAGCTTTTAAACCATTTTCTGACCAGCCCCATCACCTGGGCTTGCTTTTCATCCCGAGGCCAGCTGAAGTTGATGCCTCTCCCTGTGGCTGTGATGGGGTTTTCTGATGATTATCAGTCTGTTGCTCATTACCCTGCACGGTGCTGACACCCAGTGAGCTCCTCACAGAATCAGAGAGCGCCAATACCAGCCCCTGCAATCCCTCCCCCTGCACTGAGGAGCCAGGATTGATGCATTCCCAGGGAGCTGGTGGAGCACTGTGGGAACGGGGGGTCCCACCAGGACCTCAGTGCCATCAACACACCTCCAAGTGCTGAGCAGTGCAGGACACACCAGGAAAAACTACCCTTGCTTTAAATCATCAACCTGTCTTTTAAAGGATTTAAAGTTACTGTGTTTCTTCCTCCTCACCACTACTACTAGTAGTAACCTAAGCTACTCCTCATAAACCTACAGACCTGAGGGGCTCCCAAGGAGCCCAGCACCAGGTGAGAGCATTTGGAAGGTTCTGAAGGCAAGAGGTGAAGTATCACTGTTGCTTCATTACTGTCAGTAACAGGCAAATCAGTGGGAGAAAAATTACAGAGTCCAATTAGAGACTCTACTCTCCAATTAGGATTGATGGCAAACTGCTCTCGATCGGTGAGCACAACGCAGAGAGCCCAGCACACAGGGCTGGGCCAGGCAAAACACTAATGGGGGCAATGGGGAACGCACAGAAGGCAAGCAAGGGTTAAACGGGGTCTCCAGGATCTCAATACAAACATCAATAATGCCAGTGAGGTTGAGAGGGATTTTCCAATTCCCATTCACTTTTCATTCCAGGGCTAGTTAAGCAGTGATGTGCCAAAGGGGAGGAATGGGAGGGAAACACTGAAAAGGAAACACTGTGGGGTTTAGGATGGTAAATGCCGGGAAATAAAGTGGAAAGAGAGGGCACCCAGTGTTGAGCAGAGCAGGGCCATGACCACAGGCACTCAAGGATCTCACTAACTGCAGTTTGTGATGCCACACTGGGCTTTGCTCCTGACATTTTGATTAGAGCAATTACCCCAGGCCAGGCAGATCCCCCTGGCAAACACCCACCACGCAGCACGGCTGGTTCGAGATGGGAGTCCCTGTTACTGCCTAAATTGATTGTCTTGCCACAACTGCTGAAGTCATTGCTTGTAGCTACATTCTGGGAATTAACAACTTATTTTTATCCCCTCCAAGTTATCTTGCTGACAGACATCTACAGGAAGTGAGGGATGAAGACAGTTACTACTATATTGATAAGATTTAATAAAAATCACTGTATGATTATCAATGTCAAAGTTAAGTGGTGCTATGTGGCATCATGTCCCAAAGCCCTCAATGTTCCCTAAGTGGATTCCAGTGGACATGCATGTCTCTGAAGGCAATTTGTACATTAAATCTCTGCAGCTTATCTGCACAGTCTATCTGGAGAAATATCAGAAGTGACTCATACCCAAACAAGCATCCCCCTTCCTTACCTCTTAAGCCAAATGGAAAAACATTCTCCTTACAAGAAATTAGTGCAGATAAAACACAGCTCCTTCAAAGACACACAAATCCCAATTTTAACTTTTAAAATTCTAGAAAGTTTAAAAAGTCAAGTAGCTGTTTAACTACTGAACACAGAATTGGTACCTGTCAAGTCCTCCTTGGAATCTGTAAGATCTCACAGCTCCTGTTCCCTAAGTTAAGCCTTACCTACGTAGGAAGGGAATTTAAAACCGCTTCACACGCCAAAGCTCTCAGATGTTCCTGTAGTACTGCTACTCCTACCAGAGAATTATGTTTAGTGTGCAATTAATTCAGCTTCTCGAAATACAAGGAGTACCAAGACTCCTGTGCCATAAGGGGACCATATTGCCTGCAACAAAAACATATCTTAGCACAACGCTAAATATTTCTCTCTGCATAAATCTGGAATCCCATCTCCAGGAGCTCAGCCCAGAGGCACTCGGAGCACCCTGGCACTGCAGCAGCACCCGAGGGGTGGAGGCCAACTGGGGCCACCCCAACTGCTCCTGGCAGAGCTGGCCAGGCCAACCCCCATGGCAGGGCCAGCCCTCACCTCAGAGCCTACACTGGGAACTCCCCCAGCACAAGAAATTACTGGGAGGTCAGACTTCCTTCCCCTGTTCCCACAGTTGAATCTCCAAATCCCTTTTCAAACACCACCAGCAGACCCGGGTACACACACCTGTACTGGATCATCCCAGCCTGCAGCATCTCATTAGAAGCATTACAAGCAAAACCACCCTTTATTAAAAAAATACCAGCTTTTGAGTGGAATGCAGATGCTGCTGCTTTGGGAATTACTCAAAGTCTCTTGAATTCTTTCCTCAGAGGCATTGAGAATCTGAAGACAAGCACAAAGCCACTCAATTGAACAACGCTGGCACCGTGCCCGGCTCTGGGCGCTGACGGGTGTCACCACGAGCAGTTTCTGGACCCCACTCCAGCCCATAAATGTTACTGGGCCCACTGTGCTGCTGGAGTGGAGCCCCCCAGGCTCTTCAGTGCCTTCAGCAGAGTTTGATGAATTCCTTCCCTGGGTTCCCAGCCCATCTCTCTCCAGGCTCACAGCCCTGGGATGTCACCCCCTGCAGCAGCACATCAGCACCCAGGGCACTGTGACAGGGTGACACCCAGGGCACTGTGACAGGGTGACACCCAGGGCACTGTGACAGGGTGACACCCAGGGCAGTGCCCACCCCCTGGACAGACACTCAGCTCTGGGAGATGATGCTCTTCCCAGAAGGACCCAGCAGTGGCAAGCTCTGAATCCCACTGGGAACAGCGATGTTATGGGAAAACTGACTTTTATAGTGTCTTGTCCTGGGATGTTTGTTTAACCAACCAGCTGAAGTACAGGCTTAGCCAGAGTATTTGTCACATCTGATGTGCTCACAAAAAGAACTACATTTCCCTAATTCCATGTGGTTCCAAGAAGTTGTACTGAGAAGCAAAATGTCACCAGTTCACATAATTTGTTATCCAAAGAGGACGTGAACAATATTCTTATTATTAAATATCCCAGAGATTTTTAATTCTCTGGGCTGGGATAAAAGCTTTCTAAATGTTGACATGCACTTTCACTTGAATTTGAAGATGCATCCATTTAAAAAAAGATTTAGATTATAAATGAGTACAAGACTGTTCGATACCCTTTGCTCCCTGCTAAAAATGAAATCACAAACTGAAAACACTGTTATAAAATCATAGCACTTATTTTCAAAGTACATGTAACAGCTTTAAAGAACAAGTTGCACACTGGGCAGTTCATCCAAAGGTGTCTGCTCTGGGTCTGTGCCTTGAGCTGTAACACAATGTACAATCAGAAAAACTTCCACCCATAGTCCAATAGTTAAAGACCCTCATTTCACATTACATAAAAACTCTATTTTTCTTCATTGAAAACTCCCAGAATTAAAATACTGCAATTGGTCAGAATTGATTCTAAGAAACCAGTAGCTCACATTCAAATGAATTTGCTATTTCCAAAACAAATGCAGTGTTCTGGAGACACTGTGACTGTGCTGCCCTGACAGAGCTCTGCTCCCAGCAGGAAGGAGGGATGCAGTGAACTGGCTTTCCATGGCTGCGTCCTCAGCATCTGCTGTGACCTAAATGAACTTTGTGCAAGTGCTGTGCAGGGTGGCACAGCCCCTCTGCTGGTGCTCAGACAGCACAGGCCAACACCGAGCCAGACAACTTTGCCTTGGGTTTCTCCACAAGTACCTGCAGTCAGCCTGGCCCCTGCACTGCCCCGTGCTGTGTGGGGAGGACAAACCCAGGGCAAGAAGGGAGAGGTACTTGCCTCATACAACAAACAGCCCAGGGACCAGATATCAGACTTGAAGTTATAGCCGTTCTCGTGTATTCGCTCCGGGGACATGTAGTAGGGAGTTCCCACTGCAAAACAAACAGACAGACGAGGTTATTGTCTCACAAAGGGACTGTGGCACTTCACTAAAGGGTCAGGGGGCACAAAGGGCTCATTGGAAGAGATGCATGAAAATGTGGAGACAGATCATGGTGTCAAAGGCATAGGATCAGATGTATCATCAGGTACAGAGCCACAGGATGGGGAACGTTAGTGAAAATATCTGCGGTATTTCTGAGGGTTGAGAAAGGTTTTCTTCCCCTTCCAGGCTCCCAAGAACCTCCAGAGTGTCCCAGGTGGACAGAGCCACGGGACAGGGTCACGCCTGCCCTGAGGTGGGGGGGATGCCAGGACTCTGCTCAGCCAGAGCTCGACTCTGGGACACAACCCGGGTGTTCCCTGGACCTCGCACGGGTCACCAGGAACTGCAGCACAGGGGGGAGGGAACAGCTCCACACAGGGCCAAATCTTACTGCAAAAACCTAGATAATCACGCCAAACTTTAAAACCCTGCTCCAACTTGCAGTCACATCAGAAGCTGGGGGATTTCCAGCTACTTCCACAAGTCTGTATTTTATCAAAAGAAATTTACTGCAGTATTTTGGACAGAAGTTACAGGAAATTATTAATAAATTCCTTACCTCAAAAAGGTTCTTTTTTAAATCCTAAATAAGTTTCAGTTGTGGCACTGAAAATACAAGACATCCTGGCAGTCTCAACTACATCAAATAATCCTCAGATACATCATTTATTAAAACATCCAAGGACTGTATATGCTCTTTTCTCCTGCTTCCCCTGCTTGTCCGTCCCCTGTCAATTTTTTTTTCTTTTGGCATTCCAGTGTATCCTTCTCCTAATTAAAGACCTTTCCCTCACAAGATGGCAAATGTTTAATTTGCCTGTAACATTCAGTTTACAATTTCTCCATTTGAAATGCTGACTGAGACAGCTGGAGGACTAATAAGCAGCTGAAGGATAGTGCTGGAGGTGGAGGGGGAAGAACAGCCACCACCTTCCCCAACGTTCCTGAGGAGGGATCTGAACTGTGGGAAATAAATGAGTTCTGGGGAGAAAGCAACAGCCTTGAGAGGCAAAACCCAACCCCTGCCACCTGCACAGGTGACCCAGCACAGAGCTGGGCATTTATTTGGACCCCCAAGATGTTCAGCAATCTGCTGCCCTGTATGGTGAACTCAGCTCATGCTTTCAGGTCATTAAATAAGAAATTACTCCCCTTTCACTGTGAAGGTACCCTAATGAGAAGTTACATTTTTGCAAATCCTATACAAACCACAACAGAGGAAAAATAACACAGGGAGATTATTTTGTTTCCGTGCTGAGGAGGAGCAAGTCAGACTGACACAGTCCCAGATCTGGCTGGGTTTAATTGCCAGTGAAAGGCCCCTGTGTATGGAAGAGACCAGAGTTCTGTTAATAATTTTTAATAGACTCCACAGAGTGACTTCACAGGACACCCAGAGCAGACAGGACTCACTCAAAGAGCCCAACGAGCCTTTCCACGGCTCTCTCCCATGTGCACGAGGACACACACGATGGACAGCACAGTAACCCCCACACAGCTGCCAGATCTCTGTGCAAGAACTGACTTGGCTGGGACAGCACTGATTCATCTTCCTGATTAAAAATATGCAGCTGCAGCAGCAGCAGTGACTCATTCAGTGAAGTTCTTGGACAGTTTTGGAAGCCTCCAGTGAACACTGGCGTGAGACACTTCCCTGCCTGCTCCGTCCCTGTGCTGCTGCTCTTCCCACCCCCAGGAGCTCCGGGAGCCGGGCACAGGAGGGAGCACCAGGGCAGCCCCAGCCCTGCCCCGAGGTGCCCCTGCTCCCAGTGCCGGTGCCAGGGCCGCTCCCGGGCTCAGTTATTCCGGTCACTGCGTGACCACCCCGGAGCAGGAACGGTGGGCTCTGAGGCTGTGGCAGCCAGGTCTGCTGGGGCAGCACCACTGTCGTTTTAGATAATGCCTGGTCTAGAGAATGCCTGGTTTAGATCAGCCTGTGCCCCCCTGGACGCCGGCAGGGACGGGTCTGTGCCACGGCTCAGTGCCCTCCCTCCCGGCCGGGCATTAATCTGCTCCACTACATCCATGGCTCCCGAGCTCTCCACGCCTGAGCTCCTTTCCTGGAGTCCACCCACCACATTTACCTGCCATCACTGGAGCCTTGGCAGCAAATGTACAAACAAGCAGGGCTCTGCGTTTCAAAACTGATGCATTAATTTTTAAATAACTGTCATGATAAAAGACTGACAAGCCCAATTCTCTTTATGGCCTGTCCAGCATTACGTGGGAATCTCCCGTAATGAGCCTCTTCTAGAAAACTGCACAAGGCTTCCAGTGCAATCAGTCAGGGCTCACCATTGCATCCCATTAGTCAATTTGACAGGAACAGTCTAATCAGAGACTGTTCATCAGAAACTTTCTTTGGCATTTGCCCTGCTGGAAACACAAAATATTGTTCCGATTCAGTATCACTCACCAGGTGGCAGAGCAATGCCTTTGAAGCCATAAAGGTTGCCAAACCATAGGGAAGGTTATGGCTAAGTAAGGAGCTTCCTGCTCTGCTCCTGAGAGTTGAAACCCTTCACTTGACCATGAGCCACTTCAGTGATGCCAGAGCATCCCTGCTCCCCCCACACTGCCCGGGTGCAGCTACAGCACCACAGCAACAAACAGCTCTGGAGAGCTGCAGCTTCCTCGGCAGGGAAATGCTAATTATTCCCAGTTAGAACAGGAGCAGTCTCTTATTTCACCAGGAAAACACAGAGGCAAAGGCAGTAAAGTTATTCCAGACATACAATTCCAAATCCTTCCCTCTCATACAGAGTCTGAATTACAGCCCTACCTGTGCAGCTGCACCCCCAGTGTGCACAGGCACCACAGCTGCCCCGGGTCATGTCCCTGTGCAAACACAGCTCAGCCAGGACTGATGCTGCTGTGGAACTCAGCCCTGGCTGCTCATGGGCACAACCAAAAGGAATCTGGTTCACACTCACACTGAAACCAGGACACAGTGTTCCCCACAAGCTCTGAGCTGGCTCAGGTCTTCTCCCAGAAGGAGAATTTGGGAATTAGCTAAAGTGAAACTGTGGTCAAAGGCACTAAAATATACTTTAAATTCCTTCAAAACTCAGTGTGAGGTGCCCCCACGAATTGTTTCAAGGGAGAAGACAAACAAACAAAAAAAGCAGATGAAATCTACTTCTTCTTAGAAAAAAACAATAACTATTTTGAGCATAATATTGCAGCTGTTGTTACCAGACCTGTTGCCTTAAGGCTCTCTATTTTTTTTTCTTATTAGTATTTAATCACACAGTTGGTTGTTTTGGGTTTATTTGTTTAGTTGGTTCTTACATGTATGTAAACATACCTGCAGAAATTCTGCATCTACCTTTTTTCCCACAAATACTCTACTCAAGGCTCAGACCAAAAGGCTAAAACTCCTCAAAATCCCCACAATATTGGCTGTTGACGTTTTCTGTGCATTTCTTGTGTCCATTTTTTCTAACCAAGCCCTGTTTACCAGCCCCTCCAAGCCCTGGGATTTTGTTTCAGATGGCAAAGTGGCTTGGCAAGCAAAGGAAAAAAAAGAAAAAAGGAAAGGCAAATAGACCATTTATGAGAGAGCTCTTCAGTCAGTCCCTGCACCCCCTCCCATCCAGAAGGGCTGGGTAACACCCCACGGACCCCCATCCATGGCTGTTGGCATGTTCTAAGCTGGGAAGCTTTGACTTGTGTGCATCCCCCAAAAGGAAAATCTGCTCTAAGTACATTCTTGTCCAAGAATAAATAATAAATCATCTGCTCCAAAACAAGACTATTCTGTGTAAAATTGGTTTCTTTTGGTTTTTTCTTTTTGTTGTTTTTTTCCTCTCTTGTTTCTTCAAAATGTAAAGCCAGTCAGAAGCTTTAGATAATGCCAAGTTTATTTGGCTAAAAATGGGCATTATACCAGTTCTCAAAAAGTTATCCATTCTAATATTGACAGAAATTCTCTGTATTTATTTATTGAAGTTAAGTTTTCCAAAGTCTAAAATTACGGAAGGAAGGACTGCAAGCCACCACATTGTAACAAGGAGTAGTAAAATTCACCTTAGCTACACCCACTACCTTTAAAACATGAATTTGCTGGCAAAGCTTGTGCAGGAAGAGCTGTCCCCTGTGCAAAACTCTCTCCTGCCTGCTCCCCGGGGAAAGGGAGAGCACAGTCGAGGGGGTTCCCTGGGAACCCCCGCACACCTCCCACCCCAGCTGGTTCCTGTGCCTCTCCCAACACCGGGGGAGGCTGGAGGTGTCCACACTTCCCCTCTGGCAGGTCTGCCCATGGAGGTTTTCCCAGGGCCAGGGCTCTCCCTGCCCACGTCCCGGCGCTGCTCCGGCGGATCCGCATGCTCGGAGCCCGGCGCTCGCCGGCGTCTCACGAGCTGTGTACAGGCAAATCTTTCATTTTTCTTTCATTACCCCGGCATGTACTGTCACTTAATTTTTATGTATGCAATCCTTCCTGACAAATATGATCTGCTGCCTGGTAATTCATGTGACGTTCATTCTGTTCCTTGCTCTAATTACGGCTCCCGTTCCCGCCGCGGCGCTGCCGAGCCGCCACTACACCTGTCAGCCGGGTCGGGGCTGCCTGATGCCCTTTGTGCCAGCCTGATGTGAGCAAACACGGCCAAGGGAAGAAATGAGATGAATATATTTGCATAAGCTGCACATTGAATTCATGGGTCAGCAGCCAGGGAAGTGATGGCTCGGGGCGGTTGCCGGGGCAACGTGGGCTGGGAAGTGCCCGCTTGGCACCACGGCCTGGGCCAGGCACTGCTGGGCACTCACAGCACCCACAGAGTGGCTTCATTGCACCAAAACCAGGACCAGCCCATTCCTGCTGCTGCAAAACCTGCATCTCTGCCCAATTACCAAAAATAAAGGAAGAAGCTTCAAGTCTGCAAATTTCGTGACTGTTAAAATGCTCTTTTTTACGTGGCTCCAGAATCTCTGGAAATGGTGGTGTGTCCGTCCCTCTCCAGCCTCAGCGCCTCTCCCTCAGTGCTCTGCACCCCAGTCACCTGTTTCCAGGGCACCGTGATGTGAGGGAAAGCACAAGGGGCTGAGCTCTCCCTACTCAAGCTTTCTCAATTAAGAGAGAGCAGCCCTGCTAAAGGTCACAAGCTTGGCTTACATGTGCAGCCAGTTTCCAAGCCCCAATTTATTCTTATTAATATAATAAGTGCAGCAGTCAAACTAGATAAGATCATATAATTAGACATGATCATATTTGGGCCTGTTTGGATGATGTGATTGTAACTTTCTGTGAAAAGGATTTATTTTCATCTATTAAGCACAGTGGGGATATATCCTAGAACAGCTTTTGATGCGAAGGGAAATCTGAAATCTCCTATTTTATGCCAGTAAACTGTAGAAATGCTCCTATTTTTTTAAGCACACACAAAGCAAGGCAGGAATCTTCCTTCCCTGAGCACTGAGGAGCCCAGTGTTCTGGGCAGTGTTATCAGTGAGGTTTGTACACATCCAAGAGAGGATCAGCAAGACTCACACTCAGTGGAGGAAACTGCACAAAACAGAGTGAAACAAATGTTGTGTGTTCCAAAATCAACTGAGAGAGGTAAATGTAAAAGAGCTTAAATACTGCACCAGAAGCCAAAGTTCCCTCAGTGCTCTAACACAGAAGAGCCTTTGGGACCCATTAATAAAAATGGAAAATCACCTCTTAAGAGGTTACAGACACAATTAGGAAATACTTAAACAATGAACTGTATATACTATGGAATTTTCTGTAGCACTGGAATTAATGTTAATGGTAAAAATGAGGGAGACAACTTTGAGCTATGTGAAAGACATGAAGAAAGCTTGGACCTTTAAAGCCTAAGCTGAATTTCAAGTGCAGCCCCTTTTTGGAACAGATGAACCACGAGGGCTTTGAACACCTCACCCACCTCAGACAGTGACAGCCCCGGTCAGGGGCTGTAAAAGGTGGTGGTGTGACATTTAATTCCAGCAAGCACAGTGCAGGCAAACAGGATATTCAGAGTGGAAAAGCTGCATTTGTTAGATTTGCTAAAAATCACACGCTTACCAGGCCAGACCTTACAGAAAAAAATAACAAGCGAAGCTTTAAAACAGAAGATACCTATTAATGCCTATGAAGAGCATTTGGAATGCACATCACTGGAGATCCAGGATCCACTGAATCCCACTTCTGTCACCATCAGAGGACAGACACCACTGCTTCTGAACATCACAGTTGACAACTGCACGGCAGGGCTTGCTTAACAAGTACCAGCTTACCTAAGGAATGTGCTGCAGTGGTTTTAGAACTAAAAAACCGGCCTAATCCAAGATCTCCCAGCTTCACCACCCCTGTGGCTGTTATAAACACGTTGGCTGGTTTTATGTCTGCAAGAAGAAAAAGGTAAAAGGTCAAAGCCACAAAAGGTTATTTGGTTCTAATACTGCAATAGAAGCATCGCCTGCAGCACTCGCTGTACAAAGGGGCTCGAGCAGAACCGCGTTCCTTTAGAGCTTTGATAGCCTGAATCTTCCAAGGCTTCAAGCTCTGCACACACACGAGAATCAGAGTGTACTTCCCAGCACACGAGAAATACCAATGAGGGAAAATGTAGGAAACAGCTCAACAGAACAGAGGCAACCTCTAACTGCTGGAAATCAAAGCAATAAGCCCGGTTCTCTTTGGGAATGCTCATTCTCCACAGGAAACTGTACTGCCCACCGCCATCCCTTCACGCAAAGGCTAATCACTGTTCCACATATGCATAAATTCTGGGCTCTGTGCAGCCCAGTTGGTTCATGGAGTGCAGAAATCTCTAGAACCCCAGTTTCCCAAGCAGGAACATCAGGACTGAGTTAGAGGCTCTCTCCTCACGTCAGAGCACACTCTGCGAGAGGCTCCACGTTTCAGCCACCAATTACAGACCTAATTCAGGTGCAACTGATAAACTGCATCAGGGGATGCATAAAGGAGCAAAAATGATATCACACTGCTGAAAAATACAGTGAAGAATTCACTCCTTCAAAGGAGCAAGGAAATAACAAGCAGCAGAGATTGGTGCCTTTTGGGATATTTGCATTTCCTGAGTCCAGTCCTTCACAAAGCACTTCACTGACTCTGAAAGCACCAACGTAATTTTTGGATAGAGCTCAAAGTTATGAGGCATTCTAAGACAAGGAATTCAAAATTAATTAATGAAAATAGAGAACAGGTTATGAAAGTGTGGGACATATTTGTATTAATATTTCAGAAAAGCCTGCGAGACAGGAAAACTCTTCTCAACTCTCTAAGGTCACAGCTAATATAATGAAGACTATTTCTTAAGAGTTCACTGTATCCAGGAGTCTCAGCATTTTATTTCTGACACTTTTCTAATGGCAAGTTTGACACTTCTGCTTAATATCAGTGTCTGGAATACAAAGCAGCTCATCTTCCTAATACCACGCTCACTCCGGCCTGACTCCTCTAACAATGAGGCAGAGGCAGAAGGAGGGATCCATCTCCAGCTCCAGCCTCTCCAAACATGCACTGGCTGAACATCAGCATAATTGTTTTTGAATGCAGGCGCTTACTAATTGGAACATTATATCATTATTCAGTGAAAAGAGACTGAATTAATGTTACCTCTGTGCATCACCCTGCGGGAGTGCATGTGTTCCACTGCACTGCATAACTGCACAAAATATTTCCACACCGTCCTTTCCGGGATTAACCGTTTCTGCTTTTTAAAATACTGTGGGAGGAAACAAATAAAAGATCAGTGAAAAAGCAACATATTTGACTCGTTCCTGGAATTGTGGTAGTCAGCTGCAGGTTGCTCATGTCTTCCAGATCTGCACCTGCAAGACTTTTCTTCTGATTAGCTTTCAACTCCTCCTCCCTGCATGGAAACTTCGATGCAGTTCACTAATTAACAACTATTATGAAAAATATGCTTAAATAGGTTTGACATTTTTGAATGGACACAATTATGATTAGCATTAATCTCCTTAATTACCTTGTAAAACATATTTAATGCCTCAAAACAACAAATGTCTCAAATATTTTGCCTTAAGAAACAAAAGACCATTAAAAAACCCCTTGTAAACATTCATTCTTGCATCATCTATTAACAAGGACAAGGAAATCTGCTTCCCTTTTTTAAAAGATGGCCAGAGCATCAATAAAGTATTTGTGTTTCTTCTGTGATCAGGTAGAATAATATATTCTATTTTATGCATAATAGGAATACTAAATGAACTGCACTCTCTCCAGTGAGCAGAAAGACACCCTGATCAGGAGCCACAGATCTGGAAAAAGGCCCTTTTGTGGGTGGTTAGGCTGTGCCCAGCACAGGTTCCATGGACCTCTGGCTGCCTGAGCCTCCCAAAATCACGGGAATTGTAATGCCACAGCACAGAGAGCAGTGTGGTGCTGCACCTCTGCAACACTGAAGTCGCTGTCAACTTATGACAGGAATAAATGACCAGCTGCAGACCCCAGTGAAGGGCAGACACTGCAGATCTTCAGCTGCTCCCTCCTCTCCAGCAGAGCACGGGCTCTGCAGGCTTTGGATGCTGGGCCCTGACTGCTCCTGGCTCCCTCCTGTGTTGGATGCTGAGCCACCCTTCCACCACAGCACTAACACACTCAGAACACCCCTCCAGAGGTTCCAGACTGATCCCCGTGCTCTGTCACACACAGTGTCCCTGGATAACGCCTCTGGAATGCTGCACACCCTCCTGGCTCACACAGCTGCCCTGCTGCACCATCCCTGTGAGAATTCCCATCTGCAGGAGAGTAAAGGAAGGGAACTGTTTGCTGCCCTTTGCTGCACCTCGTGCTTTTCCCTCCCAGCACTGACATCTGATGTCCGTTGTCACATTTTCCATTTCATGTGAAATGCTGTTACTGGTTCGTGTTTGACTCCAGGAATGGCAAATTTCCCTTTGCAGATCAGCTGTGAAGGGGCACGACTGTGCAATTCCCCAGGCAGCAAATCTGACAGATTGCAACAGTTCCAACCCAAAACTTGAGAGAGAGCACAGGGAATTACAGAGGGTGAGGGAGGAAGTGTTATATACACAATAAAATTATTTAATTCTCAATAAAGTATTTAAGAGTGGATATGCAAGACCACAAGTGATAATTTTCTAAATGTCATGTCCAATAAGGTTCACCTGACATTTACAAGGAAGTCCCAACTCTCAGGTGGGTTTTCCTGCAGCTCTACATCCTCATAAATAATGCAGGCACCGGGGCGTGACAGAGACAGCCCTGGCTTTATCACCCTCACACCTCCAGTGTTGTCACTGCTGTTCCAGGGAAAATCCTCCATCAGCTGCAGCTCCCCAGGGAGGGCTGGGGGTGACTGCAAACCCCACTGCTGCACTGGAGCTATACTGACAAGGAGGCTTTTGTTCCCTCCTGGATTTAGGGTTTGGTCATTTTTTACCTCTTAAAAAAAAACAACCAAAAAAATGGAATTCCCAGATTTGCACCAATAGAAACACTTCATTTCTATGACCTTGAAAAAAACAAATGCATGTTCTTCGTGCCTGAAATACAGAGAGAACACAGAGCAGCCAGGCAGCACTGACAGGCAGCACAGTCCAGTGCTGGGCGAGGCACCAAACCAAGAACCTACCAATGATGCTTTGGAAAATGTAACTCCTGTTATAATGACACACAAAGCAAGTTTAAAAAAATTAAATAGTCAAAGGACAAATAGACAAATGAACATATTTATCAGTAAGGGATGTTTTAAACTAAAAACTGCAGATGACAAAAAAATGCAATATTTTATATCATGAAATGTTATGATTCTGTAGGTAAAACTTTTTATAAGCTGAGACTTAAAAATCAAGCAAGACTCTTGCACAGTCCAGGGTGGCCACACACAGCCCCAACTCCTGCTCTCACAATCCTCTTTTCCCACCTGTAACCACAGCAACAAAAGGCCTGAGAAGATCTGCAAGTTTCTCCAGATCTGGAGGGAAAAGGGTGAACTGCAGCAGAAGGCACGAGGGAACAGTGAGAGCTGCAACCCCAGCGAGCTCTGCGGGGGCACAAGGGCAGCTCTGCCCCCACCCCAGCGCTCACCCCTCGGGCTGGGACACATCCCTCCCACCCTCCCCTGCTGAGGCTGGATCTGGGATTTTGGGGCTCTCCCCAGTGCCTCTGCCAACTGCCTGTTCCCAGCTCGCCCGCCCGGGGCTCTCCCGGGAGACGGAGCAGATTTTCCTGGATCCTGCAAATTTAGCCGTTGACTATGGACTGAGTGGTAACTTGTTTGACAGCCCCTGGCCTAGTGCCTCATGGCTCTGCTGGCAAAGAAAACAAATCTGTTAATAAGATATTTTAACTGTGACAACAAGGAGGAGGAGAACTTTCCAAACATTCATTTATGATAATTACAGAATAATGATGGCAAAAAACAGGTAAAACATGGAGAGAAGGTTGAGAGTGCTAACAAACATGATATAACACATCTGTTCTCACAAGGGATGTATGTCTAAAGATTAACATGTCAAAGAAAATATAAAAGCAGGTGGTAACAGCTTAACTAAAGCTGGTTTGCAGCAATACAAGTATTCCTAAGAGCAACATAAAAGAAGAACAAGTACTTGAAACATTTTCTCAAACCCAAATCCCCATTGCATAGAAAGTCAATACACTTGCTTGAATGTCTTCAGAGTGGCAGACAGACAACGTGAACACTGAACCCAACAGTAATTAACTGTCCCCATCAATCACAGGCTGAGTAAATCAACCCTGCCAAAGGCACACATGTCCCACCAAACCTCAGACCCTCGCTCCCCTCTGAGCTCTGCCCACGAGTTAATGGCACCTGGGGGATTTAAAATGCCCCCAGACACTGGTTCAGGTCTGGAAACACCCCCTGGGTGTGCAAAGCTGCAGGAGGAGAACAAAAGTGTTCCTAGCCCAGCTGTGCTGCCCCCAGCCCGCGTGTGCCTGGTCCTGGATGTCTGTGGCACCTTGGGCATGGACACATCCCTACCTTAATCATCTGGGAGAGGTCTCCGGCGTCAGCCAGCTCCAGGACAATGTTCAGCTCGTTGTCTTCGATGAAAGAGTCCAAATACTTAATGATGTTGGGGTGGTTCAGTTGCTGCAGGTGGAGGGAATGCAAGAACACTCACAGTGCTGGCGCAGTGACAGCTCCAGACACAACATCCAGCCCCGCTGTCCCGGTGAGCACAGAGGGGCAGCCACCCAGCTCTGAGTCTCCACACACAAACACCCCCAAGAAACAGCATTTCTCACCAGCACAGCATAAGAAAAGTGTCTTGAGTAAAGAGCAACTCAACCCCAACAGTGTGACACAACCCCTTCTATTGCAAACTTGCAGAACATTTAAAAACTGTGTCCTGAAAGAAGTCTTGTTAAGCAATAACTGAGTTTTTTCTCCCCTATTAAAGATAAACCCCAAATGTTGATTACAGTACCCCTCAGGGTCTCTTTGCCCCTTAAAAGAACAAAATTACACTAAAACTCTGACAGAGGAAAATAATGCACAAATTGCATACACCAGTTTGTTTTTCTGATTATTTATGCTTCTATAAGCTTATATATTTATAAGTTTTATTTGCCAACCTGAAAACAATTATTTTCTCAAAACAACAACAACAAAAAAACCCCTGGAAAAAGTCATGAAAATCCTTACCTTCAGGAGGTCAATTTCCTTAATGCAATCTTGCCTAGCCTTGGCATCCATCATTTCAAAAATCTTCAAAGACAAAACCACACAAGATAAAAATGAAACAACAACAAAAAAAGCACTTTATACTTTAACAAGCAGTTGGTCTTTCCTTCCCCAATTTGTATATCCTCTACAGTAATAAGCATTCACACAATCCCCAGATCAAATAAAGATCAATGTTTTCTTTATTTTGAAACCACTACAGGGCTAACATTGGGGCAAAACTATTTTTAGAACCTGTAGGCAATGCTCTAAGTAGCCCAGAAAATAAAGACAGTAGTTTGTGAATTTACTGCCGTGATTTTTGTTGCTTTAGTTACTGTTAATTTCATCCAGAAAATAAAAGACAAAGTGTTTACTTTTCCCTTTTTAACAGATACAGCCTCCACTAATTTCTCTGTGATAATTAACAATAACATTGAGCATTAATATTCATTTTGTAATAGTCAGAGAGTAAGTCACTAGAAATGAGAGTTTACAGGGTCTGTTCAAGGATTAAAGGGAAATCTCCTCAAACAAAATGCTAGTCTGGACACTGCCCAATACTTTCAGTCAAGTTACAAATCTACACTGCTGGCAACTAAGTTTTTTAGAAATTCTTCTAAAACTCCACGAGCAGGCTCAGGCACTGTTCCCTCTCGTGCTCCGTGTTCCCATGTTGAGCTGTGTCACGATGGCAGGATCCCCACAGGCCAGAGGGCCTCCTTCTTTCACACACATTTAACTACAATCTCACTTGGTAAATAACTTTAAATATTCAATTTAAAATCTATTTACTTTATAAAGAGGTGAAATTTAAAATAAACATGAAATTGCACCACTGCTACGTAATTCTGGTTTGGAAACAGAAAGCCCCTCCAGGGAGCAGAGAGACAAGGACCCTACAGTGCAGTTCTCTGGCTCCAAGTGATCTGGGCGGGCCCTTAAAACATCCCCATCCTGCTCCGAGCAGCAGGACTGTGAACTGAGGTGCTCACCTGCACTTTCTTTAACGCCACAGGCTTTCTGTCCAGCAGACACGTTGCTCTGTAGACTTCGCTGAACTGGCCTCGCCCGATCTTCTTCTCCACCTGGAAGTCTGCCAGGGTGCAGCGGTACGGGAACGCCGTCAGCTGCCTCTGCGGGGCCAAGGGACTCGCTCAGGGGCTGCACAGGGGCTGCACAGCTCTGCTCCCACAGGGGCTGCACACCTCTGCTCCCACAGGGGCTGCACACCTCTGCTCCCACTGATGGTCACAGTGGAACCTGGGCTGCACACCTCCTGCTCCTACTGATGGTCAATGGAACCTGGGCTGGTCCCTCTGCAGAATGGTGTGCCCCCAAGCCCATCACGGTGTGCCCACAAACTCACCACAGTGTGCCCCCAAACCATCAACACCCTGCAGAGCTACCAGGGACAGGCTGAAGTCAGATGACTTTTTCCAGAAGGGAATGAAAGTCTTGCCTTGTGTGTAAGGAACTAATTAGTCCCACACTGCTCTCCCTCGTCCCACAGCCCCTCTCCAGCTCTCCCTGCCTGTGCCACCCGGGAGCTGCCGCAGCCCTGCAGCAGTGCCAGGTAAACAGCCAGGCAGGGAGCAGGGCCTGCAGGGACTGGGGATTGCTCCCCAGAGCCAGCCCGCTCCCCTCCACAATTAGCACGACTGCCAAACAATGCTTAAAGAAGAAATGATGAAAATGAATTACTCAGAACTACCACACGTGCCAAGCAGAACGTTTCCAAAGCTTCAGCATTGAGCCATTTCAGTTTGTATCAAAAACACAAAAAGAGAAGTACCCAACACAAGGGGAAGGTGGGGAAGGGACGAGCCATCACCCCAGCCCACCCCTGAGCAGACAATCCCAGCACAAGTGTCCCAGAGCAGGCTGGGAGAGCTGGATGTTTGAGGAGATGACTATTCCCACCACTGTCATTTCCCACCACAGAGGGAGAGGCTGGAATTAAGATTTAAAATGCAGGTAAAACAGTCCAGTATCTTTTGTCAGCCCCACATACAAGACGTTGTGTGGGTCTCTTCCAGTTTATGTTTATTTTGATGAGTAAATAAGTTTGGATTTCTTTTCTTTGCAACAGAAATAAAATGGAACACTACTCAACAACAACAGAAAGCATCCATCAGGCATTTCAAAATGCCTTCAGATTTCAAGGTGTGTTGTGCTACTCTGAACTACAATCACAGTTATTTGACAAAGGTTTAGTGAACAAAGTTGTAAAATTCAGCATTTTAAAGAAAACTGACCAATCAAATCCCCCAAATAGTAATTTCTGACCCACAAAAGCATCAGTTAATCAAGACAAGCTGTTTTGAAACTGTCACCTCTAAAGCATCATTATCACAACAAACAGGAGCAATGCCCACAATGGAAATTCATACTCAAAAAGCCCACTTACACTTGGTAAATGCTGATGATATAGAGATCAGAACAAACCACACACCAGACAGTGAAAGACTACCAGGTGGTTTTGGTGTCACCTTCCCCCTGATCTCCTGCAGCCCAAGGCTGGCTGCGGCCAGAGCTCGCCCTGCCCTCCCCTCCCACATCCTGCCCTGTGCCAGCCTTGGGAAGTGCCTGGGGATGGAGCTCTGGGAAGAGAGGGAGCTGCTGCCAAACCCAACAGCTCAGGCAGTTCCGAGCTCCAGCAAAGACCAAAATGCAACCCCACAACCCCAGCCCAGGCCTGTTCATTCAGCAGGCACATCACTGGAGATAACTCCAGGCTGTCATGGTCACCAGCTTCCTCAGTTCAAGTTCCCTAAAAGAGAAACCCCCTCCTCTGCAAATGAAGCCACACTTCAAAGAACTGTTTTTGAAAGCCAAGGCCACAGGTAAGTTTTTCCATCTCTCACCATGAGTATTCCAATAGTCTCATGCCAGGAGAAACAGGTTTCAGTTCTTTGGGCTAACGACAACACAAACCCAACCCAAGGCCTGAACAACAACGCCCAGAGGTGACAGGCTGAGTTGGACTGAGCTATTCATGAAGGCAGGTGGCACAGAAAGGGAAGGGCACTCCAGCAAGTGCTTCCTTTAAACAGCTCAGGGAGTGTTTCCCTCCAACATCACTTTAGTCTCCCCTTCACTCTGGAACAAGTCACCAGCCAGTGGCTGCAACCAAAGTTTGGGTCAGCTCTCAGTGCTTGTGCTGTGCTTGGAGTAATACTGAATTTACAGAAGAAAAAAAATCCCAAAATAAAGACTCAGGAATTGTTTCTCCAAGTTTGGCAGTGCACACTATCCAATGAACTGGGAGCATCCTGTCACTGATGAGGGAAAAGGTATCCTGCAGATCATCAGATAAGGAGCAGAATGCTAAAATCCCACTGCTTTATCGGTTACAAACATTCTCCTTTAACTTACTGAATGAACACCAGAGCAAGGCAACATGGGATGAAAGCAGACAAGCAAGTGTTCCAAGGAATCAGCCCCTGCACCTTCTCCATTTAAACTGGCTGTGATCTCTCTTTGCAGGGATCTGATGAACAGGAACACTCATCAGTGCCCATCTCAGTAAGATGGGAAGGGGCTGCTGGGGGGGCTGGAGGTGGGGCTGGAGGTGGGGCTGGGAGGATGGATGTGGTGCTGGAGGTGGGGCTGGGAGGATGGATGTGGTGCTGGAGGTGGTGCTGGGGGGATGGAGGTGGTGCTGGGGGGGATGGAGGTGGGTGCTGGGGGGATGGCGGTGGTTTGCTGGGGGGGATGGAGGTGGGGTGGGGGGATGGAGGTGTTGCTGGGGGGATGGAGGTGGTGCTGGGGGGATGGAGGTGGTGCTGGGGGGATGGAGGTGGTGCTGGGGGGATGGAGGTGGTGCTGGGAGGATGGAGGTGGTGCTGGGAGGATGGAGGTGGTGCTGGGGGGGATGGAGGTGGTGCTGGGTGATGCCTGGACACCTCAGCTGACGTGTTCTGGCACCCCCAGCACTGCAGCTGCATATTTACATATGCAATGACCCAGATTTGCATTTGCTATCACAACCTATCAGACCTAATTAAAGTAACAGAGCTTTCCTAGAGGGAGAAGATGTTTGACTGCAGCACAAACCAGAAACCCTCCTCAGGTTACACCAACCACACCAAAAGCTCCTACTGATCACAGGCCATTTTCCCTCAGCTTTAAACTCAGCCTTCCTTCCCTTATGCTTTGCTGCGTTAAAGGGAAGCAGGAAACTCTGCCAAAAACTGTTGTAAGGACACAAAGAATACCTAAGAAACATCTGCCTTCTCTGAACACCATCCCTATAATCTGGCCTTGTGCACATCTCACTTATTTCACAACTTCTGACATGGGGAACCCCATTGTTTTCACACCCTTCTACAATTAACCACTACAGTTCTTCATAAAGCTGTCAAAGAATCAACCCCTATTCATTCAAACAACCCACAATCCTTATTTCTGTAAAACTCAGAGTTTTCATGTACATAAATTATGTGTAAAATTAGACACCACCACCACCTTCAAACCTGTCCATCAAAAACACATTTTCTCATTTTCAGGACAGATTCAGGCCCAGGTCTGCACAAGAGCAGCAAAGTCAAAACTCTGCAGATCAGGTCTCAAGGTCAGTGATGGAGCTTGAATTAAAAAAAAAAAATTAAAAAGAAAAAAAAGGGGATTAAAAAACCAAACCAAAAGAGCTCCAACCACTGGACCCTATGAAAACGGGGCTGTTTGCACATTTCTGTTCCCAGGGCAGATGTAGGAAGGGGAAGAAATTGTTTTGAGACAAAGCCTGTTCTCTTCATCCTCACAATGAAGTCTCATTCTTTTCCTGCTCCATAAAAAAAAATAAAAAAAAAGCCAAAGATCAAAGTCAGTTAATTCCTCATTCGAATAAAAAGGCCATTCATTTTTAAGCAGAAAGGCAGAGATTATTCCAAGAACAAGCTCTTCTGGGCATCTCCTCTGGCAGACATGTGCTCTGTGAGATGGAATCACTGATGCCAGAGCACAAATTCCAAAGCTGGCAAAAGCTGGAACAGCAGCCCCTGTCACGGTACTTGAGGGAGAAGTTTGCCAGGCTTTTAGCCTCAAATTTTGAGGTATTACAAGATTTTCTGCAAAACAGAATTAGTAAGGTCTTGTAATACTAAAAAAATCCAGTGGCACCAGAGGCAGCTGCACAGGCTGTGCACGAGGAACACACACAGGCTGAGTTTCACACCTGGACATTGGATACAACTCCCTCCAAATCCTGCTCCAAGCACACGCAGGTGGGACACACCCCCTGAACACATTTCTCTGTTCTACTGTTCTTCGTGAGTAGTTGTACAGCTCAGAATTTGTATTTTGGGATAAGGAAGAATAAGAAAAACCTGTTCTGTGGAAAGACACTCAATCTCCAGACCAATTAGTGTTTGGTCAATAAATTTACCTCTTTGTAGTTCCTTGAGATCTGGGGAAAACCTGAACAGCCCCAAGAGAACTGTGGGAGCAGCTCTGCCTGCAGCCCTAACCCCTCATTTGGGGCACAAATCCCAAAGTATCAGGAAATCCTGACCTGTGGCCTGTGCAGAGCCAGGTCTGTGCAGCTGCTCCCCCACAGGGCTGGGAAATCCCAGCCTGGATGAGCTGGAAAAGGGGAACGTTCCCTGCCAACTGCACACCACATAAACCCGGAGTGTGGTGTTAATTCATCACAAATCAGTGGTTTCAGTGCTGACTGGCACGTGCAAAGCAGGCACCAGTCAGCAGCCTGCTCAAATGGCTACAAGGTCAGGATTAGATTACTTGTAATCAGCCTAAAAATTGTTAAAGATGGGTTAACCAACAGTTAAAAAGTCAGACACTGCAATCTTCAGATGCCAATAAAAGCATCTCTCCTGTAGAGCCACGGAATGAAATATTCTTTAGAAGAGGAAAAACGTACTCGCCCAATTAATTTTCTGAAATCTCATTAAAAAATTTAGCCCGACTAAGTCATACACTTCTGACCTGAATTTTAATTATCTTTACGCTGGATATAAGTTTTTTTTCTGATATTTGCAATGCATCATTAATTTTAAAGGAATGGTTTCCTGCTTCTAAAGTGCATCCTTCATCTGAATGACATTTACTGTAACTAATTTCACCTTTAAAAGACATCTGCAGCAGGACTGGGGGGGCTTCAGCCCCTCCAGTACAACACACATTTCACAAGCAGTGATTTACTATCAGCATCAGTGCTTCAAACCTTTTTAGTGTGTCCCAAATTGCACACCTGCCTCCATTCTATAATGCCTACCTGAAAAGAATTTTGCATACTTTGAGGTTGAAATTCCAGTGTGAATTTATGAGAACACATTAGGACAGATTGATTAAAGGAAGAACTTCTAAGCTCACAGGAGATGAGGAAACTTTTAAAATATGGATTACCCTTCAAACAGGTAGTCAAGTAATTATTGAAGAATACATCAGGTTTTTCAATTTGAGCTTCAAAACTAGACTACACAGTCATCATAAAACATCCTTCACCTCACCTGGTACCTGGAATTTAAAGTTTGTTGAAGAACTTGGCTTGAATTTCAAAGTTTGGCCGTCCCTACCAGCAGATATTTGTACTAGAGCATGATAAGGAAAGAGAGAAATACCAGCTTGAAATAATAGAAATAACCTCTTAGCAGCTCTGCTGCTAAGCTGTGAGTATATAAAAGGGTTGTTTAAAAGTGAGTTATAGTGTTTATTTAGTATGAAAACTAAGTGAAAAATTATAGCTCCATATTTTTATATCACTGATTTACTCCTAAGTATCTTTTATTCCTTACTGCTGTAAACATTCAGTAATCTGGAGGCTCCTATAATTGACACTTTCACTCTGGAACATTGCTGGAAAATGTTCCTCCTTTTGCTGACCAGCTTCCTTGGGGTAACACTGGGTGGGTAAGGGAGGCAGAGGTCAAAACTGTTATTTTATTGGGCCCTTTCTTATGTTTTTGGGCTTATTTTTGTTTATACAAAACTTCTAAATACCCAGCATTACTCAGAAGTTTCATCTTCTTAACTAAACTACAGCAGTTAGAGGCAGAAAGAAAAGCCTGACACACTTGCACTCTGTACTGAAGAGTCACAAAGCAGAAATAACACCTCTGTCAGAATGGAAAAGAAAAAGCTCTAGGAAGCAGCACAATTACAGGAAAATTTTGTAGGAGAGGAACACACTGTTGCTCTGCTCTTTGGGGGACTGACACAGCAGTTTTGAATATGAGGATTGGAAGGAAGGGAGGGCAATTCCACACAGACCCTCTCCTCGTCCAAGACTCCAAGTTTTGGCATTTTCTGCTCAAGTTTTTCTCGCTGCCATTCATGACAGTTCTGGTAAGGCAAGTTTGGTCCATTTTATCTCCCCAAAGCTCCCTCCCTCCCACAGGCTGTGACACAGCATGGCTGCAATACTTGTATCTCCAGAGGAAAGAAATTATGCCATTTTGGATTATTCCAGGTAAAAGTACCAGAGATTTGAAAATTATATATAATTATATTCCTGAAAAATGGCAAATCAGAAATAGGTAATCAGCACTCATATCATGCCCCCAATGGAAGGTAGCCTGCCCTCTAAACAGTATGATTTTGTAACATGCATTTTTCCAGTTCTCCAGTGGACTGTATATTTCTGTTCTTCAGCTTTTTTTATGTTATTTTGACAGCAAAGCCAAAGAAAGTCTTCCTGCAGTTCCAATTCCAAATGAGCTCATTCTCAGAAGAGTTAATAGAGCCCTCCATTAACACAACTTGGGTACTACCAGAGTTGGGGGGAGGTTTCACTAACAATGACCATACAGCAAAATGAGCCCACTCAGCATCAGCATCACAGCAGAACATAGATTATTAGCTACTAATTACACTTAACTATGTCATTACAAATTCTAACATGTGCTCCAAGATGCCATGAACGTATCTGCTGCACAGGAACACTTCCTAATCTTGTTCATGAAATAATTACAGGGGCACTATCCTGCCAAATGAGGCAGTAATTAACCCTAATTGCTCAAAATGCAACTGGCTAATTCTAGGAGATTAATCAAGGGGATTCAATTATTATTAAATGACTTAATATGACAAATTGCTGCATTAGGAGAGGGGGCTTTGCTCCATTGCAGGGTACTTTCCCAGGATACAGGCACGGTTGTGTTCTGTGTGTAGGCAGCTCCCTGTGTTTGCACAGCCCACCCTGGGCAGTGTCAGAGCTTTCCCAACAACCAGCTCTCATTTGGGGAACCTGGATCAGCCCCGGGCTGCACGTTGGGAAGGAGAAATCCACAGGCACAGCCCCCTCCCTGCAGCAACATCACACCACAGGCACAAGGCTCTGCTTCCTGACAGCCCTGCCAGGATGCCTTTGGTTTGCTCCTTAAAATAACACCCAGGTACCACTGAATCACTCTGGTAAACACACAAACAGCCACAGCCCCCGAAATCCCAGTGTCACCATTACACAGCAGGCAGGTTCATCCTGGGTTTAGCCCCCTCATGCAGAGATGAGCTGCCACAGTGACACTTTATAACAGTACTGACAAAATGCATTGTGGGATGGATTCCAGACTCTCAGACAGCCTACAGACCCATGTAGGATAGGCTTTTTGTTGGTAATTACCCCTTTGGCATTTGTTACTAAACTATAAAAGGAGATAAAATACATTTATTCATTTACACAATCATCTGCTTTACTTTGGCCTTTTCTTCAAAGAATCAAAGACAAGAGAAAGCCAACACAGTGCATGTTTTCATAAAGATGATTTAAAAATACTTGCTCTAAACAAAAAATCAAACTATTTCCTTTTTCTCTTATTATCATCAAAAAACCTGGGTTCAGGAAGCTGTGGCTGGCTGGCAGAATCCCAAACTGGATAAACCCTAAATCTTCTGTAACTGCATTAGAAATAAAGGAGGGGGGTAAAAATAAGGAGGCTAAATGCTAATAAATCTGTGGACCTTTATAGAAGGAAGGGAAGAAAACACAGAAGGAGAAAGCCTGGAGGCACACACACTTACCTGAGGGTCATGCTGGAATTCCTGCCCTGGCAGCTTGCACAGAGGGTTGTTCTGGTCCCCTAGATGATGTGGGTGGTTGTGCTGCCCTTCCATGGTATCATACCAAACTCTGCCTCACAGTTCTGCTGGAGGGAACACAAAGGGGAGAGAGAAGTCTCATCACTGCCAGAAACTCTTCCCCGGGACTGCCTACACAGGGTTGCTCAGGGCAGCAGCAGCAGAGTCCTCCCCTCCCTCCCTCCCTCCCTCCCAGTAACTCACAGCCCTCCCAAAGGCAGAGCCGGGAGCAGAACAGGGCAAAGCCACCCTTGTTTCAGGAGTTTTGGCAAGTATTCACTCAGCAAAGAACACAACCGACCTGATTAGTGTATTAATAGTGCATGTCTGGCACTTGGGCAATGACTAACTCCTAATTTAAAATGCAAAGGTATTTCAAATATTTGTGGGAATGGGGTGTTTCTGTGATGCAGAACAACTTCTGTAGCAAGTACTGCTCAGTCCTTTTAACAGTTGTCAGTGAAACAAGCCTTTATCTCTGGCAGATCCTTCCCAACACCAGCTACTGTAACACGGGCACACACAGTATGGGGGGAAGGCAGAAAAAAGGCTCTTGTTTCTTCAGCAAATGAATCTTCACTCTAACAGACACTCACTGGCTGTGGGAGCTGCTGTTCCTGCTGCACAGAAACAGCTGAGCACATGAGTTACTCTCAGGTAAAAGTTTTCCAAAGTTAGTACCATGAAACTTCAGTGGGAGGAGAATCACTGATAGTGTGAAGAAGTTCGATTTTAAGATTCCTTCTGCCTCAAGCATCTGTAGGTTTATCAGTAACCAGGTGAATACTTAAATAAAACTATGTCTCTTAATATCAATGTTGAAGTGTCCTATGAAATTCCTACCTTACATTACATTGCTGGAATGATCTTAATTATGTTATTAATCAAGATTTGGAGAAAGGCTGTTTACTTGAAGGGATAATGTACCACATGTTCTCCCTCTTCCAAGTCCACAGGCACAGAGCAAACCCTGCAGGCCACAAACCCTGGCACCTCACCACAGAGCTCCACAGGAATCCAGACACTTCCCATGCACAGCCCCCATTAAAGGCACGTCCAGACAGTGCTGGGTGAAGTGTCCGTGGTTGAACAGGGATCTGACTGTATATCCACTGTGTCCTGCCTTCAGAAAGGGCTGGAGCTCAAAACAAGGACAGGGATTTACCTCCAAGTATGGGAACCTGAATCACCTGATCACCCACAGGTCTGGGACGTTCCTCACAGAACCATAACTCTCCACGAGGAAGCTCAAGGTACAATTCCTTCCTGTGGGGCGTGGACAGCTCAGGAGACCCCACGTGCCACGAGGGGTACGGGAACGGGGCAGGATTTGGGTTCAGGCACTGTTGGTTTAAAGCCCTAACCCAGCCCAGCTGGAAGCAGAGGAAGGAGGAGGAACAGAATAGCAGCTTTGAAAAGAGATCCAGCCCAGCTCACATGACACAGCTCCTGACACCTCCAGGACAGCGTGTCCTGCCCCGGGCTGGCAGCTCGGCTATTCTGGGCTGCTGGCACAGCCAGGGCAGAGGGGAAGGGGATCCCCAGCAAGGGGCTTCACAGAGGGGCTTAAACAGCAGCCACCAAACACCACAAAGGCACTTCGTTGTGTCAAATAAGGTACAAGGTACACTCTTGGTATGGGCACATTTTTACTTTACATTGTTCTAGCTCTGCACTTTTCCTTCTCAGGTGACAGGCTCCTTTATTCCTGCTTCTGAATTTCCTACAAAGCTTTGCAGTGTCAAACATTTTCAGACTGAGTCTTGACCATGACTGTAAATTAAACCATTTTTAAAATGGCATGAAGGATTACATGTCTTTCCAAAAAGCCACTAAAGGAACAGGATCATCATCATGGGAAACATGACCAAAGCCCCTGTGGGATGAGCAGCTTCTTCTCTCAAAGACTGCCACTTTTCTGTGGTACAGTTGTTACTGCAGTCAGTGGCAGCATTCCCAGGTAACCTGGGGTTTTTCCAAAGCCAAGGAGAACAAAACCCCTCTCATGCAGCCAGCTGCCCTGCCACATCCCAAGCTGCAGCTCCTCTCTGGGTACCTGAGTGTCCCCACACCCCCATCCCGTCCATCTGACGCTCATCAGCAGAACACAAACCACCCCCTGCACCCCTGGTACCTCGCAGGTACCTGACAGGTGGGATTCTCAGGGCACAACAGCCCAGGGCACTCGGGAGCAAAGGCCAGGATCATTAGTTACGAGACACTCATTAAGGAGCAGAACCTCATCAGCATCTTGGCATCCAGTCTGAGCCGCCCCGTGCCCCGGGTGCCGCTCCTCGCGGAACAGCTGTGCCCAGTCTGGCTGGGTATCACCATGTGTCTCGGGATGCCTCCAACTGCACTGCAGGCCAAGTGATTTGCTCCCAGATGTATAATCAACATGACAGGACCGTGCACCTCTCAAGCAGGCGGCAAAGCAGCAGTTTGTGCTCAGTGTTACAACCGTTTTCTGTACCAGCACTTTTCACCTCCTGCAAGACACACCAGCTGCTCTGTGTGCCAGCGTTCAGCTCTGCTGCTGCCCACCACACACACACACATATATGTGTGCTTTTCCACTCAGCTACTATACCCTTCTCATACCCTCTCACCACACAGGGACTTAGAGGGGGAGCCAAGCAGCTCTGTTTGGGTGCCTCATGTAAAACAAAACAAAACAAACAAAACTTGCTGTTTTCAGCAAGTCTGATGTAGTTCCAGAAATCCACAAGTTGTTTAAACACAATCAAGCACATTAAACTACTGCACAAATTCCCACCTTTCAACATACACACAGACCCAGCAGTGCACCCAGAGCTCCCAGGTGGCTCCTCCACCCGCAGGGATGTGCTGCCGGCGGGAGCTCCCCCTCCCCAGGACCTGCTCACTGCAGGCTCCGCAGGGGCAGAGCAGAGCAAACTGCTTTACAAAATAAACACAACCACAGCACTAACACTTTCTTCCTCTCTGCTGCCCAATAATATTCTTCCTCTTCCTTGCTCACAAAATAAATCTGCCAGGATACTCCAGGAGATTACCTATATATTTAAATGATGATCCTGGCTCATGATTACATCCTCACTGTGGTTCAGGGCACGTGCTGTGGGGAAGGCAGCCCAATCCTAGGAGAGTACTATTTCCGAGTGACTTTTATTGTCCATTATCTTACACCATTCCTGTCACAGCCATGGTGCCTGGTAGGAATAGTTCACAACAGAAATATCTTTGTCGTTAGTATTCTCATTGCAATTTAGTCAGATCAACCTTTAAATCTCATCCATCACACTGAAGAGCTCTGGCAAAGCAAGCACAGTAATATATGCTTCCATGCAAACCCTAATTACAGGCTAGGTTAAAAAGCCCAGCCCGTTCCTTCTGCAGTGCAAGGTGACAGGAAATCCTGAGCATCCCTTGGTTTCTCACTCTCCCTTTTTGCTGGTGGAGTGCGTAACCCGTTCATTACAGCAGACTGATTCTGTCTGGCACATGACAAACTTACTTGAACCCAACAATTAAACTTCTGACAGCGTTTCCAAAAGCAGAGAGTATTTACTGTAAATGCCTGACAATTTTTTTCCTCTCCGCTCATCTCTCTCAACAGTCACCTTATGATGACTGGAAATTACCATAAGCAAATAGCAGTCTAACATCCAAAAAACCCCTCATGTTAATGTGAAATACACACCTGCCAACACTGAAAGAATATGAATATGAATGTTAAAGGAAACGACATGAGGAACGGCACTGAAATGCTTGAGACAGGAGAGAATGCTGCAAGAGCACACTTAAAGAATTTTTATTTATATTAATATATATATGAAGAATTTAAATAAACAAAGAGTTAAAGAATAGGAGTCAGCAAAAAATTGTTCAGCAGTTAATTAACAGCACAAACTGGTAAACAAAGTGCAGATAAATCACCAGTAAACAGCTTCAGAATTTTCAGCTTAGAATCAAGATGAAACTGTATCTATATTCACAGGCAGAGACATTACACAGTGTGAGTTACACCTGCAAAGCCTGGGAATGCATAAAATACATGGAACTGTGAACAGACTGTTAAAGCCAATACATAAGATCAGCAGTTACACAACTTTGTTAGATTTAGTAACCATGACCAATTTTATATCATCTCGTTACATTCTTTTACATTATATACTATATTATATATATTATATAATATATACTGGTTTATATTATCTATTATATTATCTAGTACAACTTTACTCGTGCTCATTGACAAACTCTAAAGGGCAACTGAAAACTGGCAGAAATCAACTTCCCAACCTTTAGTACCAGGGAAGCTTTAAAGGGCAGGCCCTGGATCAAGTACTAAAAAGTAATAAAAGCCACAGTCACCAAACACACAAACGACAGTTGTGTTTTAAAGTAAAATTCTCTTTATCAGTATTTTTAAGTACTAAGGACCCCAGCTGTGGTTTTTAACTCACTGCACTGAAGGGGCTCAAAAGCCCCAGAGCTTTTTCCTACCATGTCAACAACTGATAGTCATTGAACAAATGCTGTGACAGACACTGGAATTCACTGTTCCATCCCTAGAAGCAAAATGACATTAACTCAACTATTTAAAGCTATTTGGAGCCATCTCACTATGGATGTCAATAAAACAAATGCTTCCTGCCAATAATGAACTATCTGTGTCAGACTTCCCACGCTGCTTCCAGTCACTCCCTACACCCAGCTCAGGTCCATATTCCCATTCTAAACAAGCAAGTTATAATTCCTAATGCTCTGTCTTCTAGTTTGGGGGAAAATCTAGTAAAATGGCCTGCAAATGGCAAGGTGTGGCACAGTATTCTCCCCTCCCCAATGTACCACGCTGTCTGAAGCTGCTCCTGGAGTTTATACAACCCTTTGGAGAGAATGGTTCAAATGCCCATTTCTCACTGCCAACCAGGAGGGCATGCAGTTTACTTTAAAACCAAAATATTCTGGATTTAAAATTTTTAATCTGAGTTAAGAGTTGGGTTTTGTTTGGAGGCATTTCTTCTGTGTTGTAGTTTCATCTCCCCACAACTTGGTCCTAAATCAAGACATAACTGTCTGTGTA